ACTGAGTTCAAGCCTGTCCCAGGATTGGCACTAAAATAATAATAATAATAGTAATAATAATAATGATGATGATGATGATGATAATGATGAAAATAAGCAATGTTTGGTTTGTGTTTTGTGTTCTGTTTGTTTATCACTCCTCTTAAACAGCTTATAAGTCATTCTCTTTCCCATGTTTGTGAATTACTGCCCTCAGCTTGGTGATTCCATTGGGAGTTTTTACCATTTGCCACGAATTGGGATTCAAGGTTTCCTCTTGTACATCAAAGGTACTTTCTTCACTTACACAATTTTCCCTCTTCTGGGTACAATAGAACAAGTGAGAGTTGGTGGGCATAATCCCTTCATGTGGCCTTTCTATAAGGCTACTTCAGGTTTCTTCCATGTGCTGCTCTTGGTATATTACTCTCATCCTATCTGCTTCCCTTGAAGAGACCAAGGCAGAAACAGCAAGTCTTGTGATTTGTCCTTGGAAGTCACAAGTATCACCATACTACTTATTATTGGAAGCAATGCCTAATTTGTTATAAGGGAGCATCCTACGTGTAGGGGAAACTGCACAAGAACAGCTGAGAGAACAGCTACCGCAGTGCTTTCTAGAGCATTTTATATAAAGACTGGTCAAGATGATACCTAAAGTAACGTGAAAAGAATAGGATTGTCAGAGCCAGTGGCTCACACCTGTAATCCTAGCTACTCAGGATGCTGAGATCTGAGGATCGGGGTTCAAAGCCAGGCAGGAAAGTCCTTGAGACTATTTATCTCCAATTAATTGCCAGAAAACCAGAAGTCGCATTGTGGCTTAAGTGGTAGAGTGCTCACTTTGAGCTGAAGAGCTCAGGGACAGTGCCCAGCCCCAGAGTTCAAGCCCCATGACCAACCAAAAAGAGCAAGAAAGAAAGAAAAAAAAAGAATAGGATGGCTTGAAGATGGTAAGGAAAAAAACCCAGAAATTGTTCTTGAGGACTTTGTAGGCAAGTGGGAATTTTCTAATTCATTTTTCAATCTATAGCCGAGTTCAATATACCCTGCTTATGACTCTATACCCTCTGCTACTTTGGAGAATTTAATTGTGCAGTAAGACTGATGCCAGAAAATTAGAGAGAGGCAAGACATCTACCAAGCCTGAATCATTTTTTTAAATACATGTTTTAAGAATTTAATAGTGAACTGTAAATCCTTAAAAAATACCTACAATCTAAATATTGTTCCGAGGCTAACTTTGCTGACCTACTCTAATCCTAAATCTTGAGCCAATTTTTACAGTTTGAACATTTTAATAACTTAACGTAAATGCTTTATGATTACCAGAAAATTAACTCGAAGAAATTCACAAAGATATTAAGAGGAACTGGTGCCAAGAACCTTCATTAACTAATGACAAAATTACACAGATTCTTCAGATATTTTTGTTATTACTTGTGAACAGATTTAAATTGCAAGCATTTTAAAGCTTACTTAATCTACTATCACAAATATAAATAATAAAATTCACTGCTATGAGATACTGAATCTAAGTGATAAGAATACATCTATATTTTTCCTAACATTTAAATTGATAGAAAAATGAAATTCATATTTAGAAATAGTTTATTAAGCCAATATTCCAGAATTTTCTCCAAAGAAATATTCTGTTCACTTTATAGCCCAAAGAGTAAATTGTTCAGAGAAATTCAAGCAATACTTATAGGAGGAAAGTAATTAGAAAATGTGCTTTTTCTAAAGCAGGCTTACTATATACAAATATTATGTTCTGCCAGGTCATCAAGAGTAGTAATATTCAATCTAAAGGAATAACTCCTCTGAACAGCTAATGTACTATTTATCAAAACTAATACCAGGAAGTGGAAACATGTTTTGGGTATGGGCAGAGGTGGAGGCACAGGAATAGAGGGAAGGATGAGCAAATGTAGCCATTGTATTCAATGTACAATGTTACAAATGAACTATGTAATTTGATGGTAGGGACAGGAGAGGGAAAAAACTGGGAGAACAAAGAATGGGATGGAACTGAGCAAGAAGAATTGTACTTATACTCTGACTTATGGAACTGTTACTTCTTTGTACAACTACTTTAATAATAACAACAACAACAACAATAGAATGAACCATGTTTGTGCATTCATGAAACAATGTTAATTAGAAATGTCTGTTTTGTACAGATGTACTTTTGATATGCTTTAATAGATTTAAACATGTTCCTATATTATTTCTGTCTGCAAACAGAATCTATTTCAAACAGTGTTTATATGCAAATCTACTGAAGTGTGTGAAAGTAAATATCAGGTAATATTAACAGAATTTTATGTTTAAGGACTTGTTAGATTTTAAAAATAGGAGCATTTCACAAAGAAGCATTCTGTTTTATTAATACACATGGTTGAAAAAGTAAATGTTCCCTACAGATTTGGGGATTTGTAGAGAATGGGTTTAATGAACATATTTACTACAGAAATTCTCATAACCCTATATTTACTCATCTACATAGAGAATCTCTTAATTTAACTTAAAGTTTACTGTTGCTTGTCATGCATAACCTTTTACTTGTATAAATAACTTTGTGTCCGCTCCTTTGCACTGTTTACTAATTTACCTTCGTCACCAAAGTATAACTTTCATCAGATTCAGTAATTCTATCTTCTTTGCCATTTTCTCTAGCGCCCCAGCTAGGGTACATAGCAGGACTTCAATAAATATTTTCATAGTATGTGAGCTGCTGAGGTGCATCTGGGTGGACTCATGCTTAAATTTATTTTGGGAACTACCATTCTGAAGCTATTCAATAGAATAATAACTTCAAATAAAAACTGTGTTAACACCTCGAGGCCACTAGAGATTCATTTAATAAATTATTGCTACACTTCAGTGGAATAAATTACTACCTCAGGGAACTGACAAGATTTCTCAGACAGCAGCACATCATGACCTGGAAAAGTCTTGTGAAATCATCTTTATCCTCTGAAACACCAACCATAAAACAGTGGTAAAAATGACAGTTACCATGAAATGAACCAAAAGGAATTCTGCTTTGCATCAACATGAGTAATCTTTGGGAACACATTTGGCAACATTGGATTTTCCTTCAAGATGTTTGCTTATTTTAATACTTCAAGCATAAAAAGCAGATTTTCCTTCCGGAAACTGCACATTGTTGACTCATTCATTCTCCTTGGGAATAAAGTGATTTCCCATATTTATTTTTTGGATAATCATAGCCCATATTAAGACATTTTGAAAATGATTTTATACAGTAACTTATGGTTTTGAGATTCTTAGAGCTTGTTATGTCTTTCAATAACTCTGTGAAAAGTACATCACAATATTGGATTTTTAAAAACACAACACAAATGGGACAGACAGTGGTGTTAGCTCATGCCTGTGATCCTAGCTACTGAGGAAACTGAGACCGGAGGATCTCAGTTCAAAGCCATCCCGGCAAAAATGTCCTTCAGACTCTTAGCTCTAATTATCCAGGAAAAAAATAAAGCCAGAAGTGGAGGTGTAGTCAAGTGATAGAGTGCCAAACTTGAGTGGAAAAGCTAAGGGAGTGAACTTTGGCCCTTAGTTAAAGCCCCAATACTAACACACACACACACACACACACACACACACAAATTAGCAACAGAGAAGCCATATATTTTCATTAACCACTAAAATCCATCAACTTCACAGATGCTAGGAAAACCCCACTAATTTCATTATTTGAGAGTGAAGTGAAATGATAAAAAAAAGTATCAAATTTCTTTTTTTTCCAGCTACCGAAATGGAAGTCATTATTACTAACGCCCCCTGACACACCACTAAAAGCTTAGTTTATGCCTAAACCTTAAACCTTCATTCTATTTGTCGGTGGGGGGAGGAAGGCATTTCAGGCAAACAAAGGATGCGTTTCCCAAGTTGCACCTGTGGATGTTAATCTGTGTCTGGCCTAGAAAGGGGAAAGGGCAGCGCCCCGAGGATCGATCCAAGACCCCCTTCTCGTTTTACTGTTTGCTTTTTTTCCCCCTAGTTAATAAACCACGGGGAGAGATAATTTTTAAACTTAATTGCTGAAATGGAAATTTACTAAACGTCTTAAAACAATGTTCCCCCGATTCTCGAGTTTGGGGGTTTGGGTTTTTTTTCCCCCGATAAATCGACTTTCTGTTCGGATCTCCCCCGACACCGTTCACAAACACAGATCTACCGAGGAATCCCTCCCCGCCCCCCGGTCGAAGGTGCCCGGAACAGCGCGGAGATTCCCCCGAGGGCTCCCCGGCCGCCGCGCTCTCCGGAGCCGGGCAGCTTTCGCCGGGACGCCGGGCTGCTGCCTGCGGGCTGCGGTTCCCCGGCTTCTCCTCCAGCACCCGAGCTCCGCGCGGCCCCGGCGGCGGAGTGAAGGTCCGAGTCCGCAGGCTGGCCCCGCGCCGTCCTCGGAGGCGAGGAGCCCCCGCACCCCCGGCGCAGGAAAGCGCGCCTCGGAGCCTTCACCTCCCGGGACCTAACCCTGGCGAAAGATGAAAGAATTGTTTTTCCAGCTTGTTTAGGAGTAGGGAGGTGAGGGCGCGGGGGAGGGGTGCGTACCGGTGGAAGCCCGGTCCCCGCGCCCTCCAAAGCCGCGCGGTGGGAAAAGGAAGGGGGGTGAGGGGACTTGGTGCTCCTAGAGCTACCCTCCCCCACGAGGGACTCTCAGCTGCGCCCCACGCCCGAGGGGAGCCTCGTGGCACCCCCCCCCTCCAAGAGCTCTCCGCTCCTCCCCACCCCCCAGCCTCTTGCACGCGGTGGCGCGCGCCTTGCAAGCTAGCGGGGGGTCCCCGCTCCGCGACCCGCACCCCCGGGTGCGCAGCCCCTAGCGGCGCCGCGCGGGTACCGCGAGCCCGGCCTCCCCGCCTTCCTCCTCCCCCACCGCTCCCTCCTCCCCTTCCTCCCCCCCGCCCCCCACGCGCTACGCGATCCAGCTCCGGGAGGCGGGGAAGCCGCCGGAGCGCGACGACCGGCCGAGACAGCCCACCCCGCAGCCGCCAGCCGGAGGTGCCGTCCGCAGGCCCTGGAGCCCGGCCCGGCCCTTGGGAAAGTCGGCGCCGCAGCCCGAGAGCTGCCAGGCTCCCCCCTGGCCGGCGCGGAGCGCGCGGAGGTGAGCGGGTTGGGGAGGAGGTGGTGAAGGTGGCCGAGGTGAGGGTCAAGATACAGTCCGCACTATCCATCCTCCCCGCATTCCGCGCCATCCCAGGGCATCCCCCCCCCACCGCCCCACTGCCCACCCCGGGGCTGGCGGGGTGCCTGACATCTGGGTGGGGAGTAGGAGGGGTGCAGAAGGGTGTCTGCCACCGATTCCGCCCCCCCCCCTCCGCGTGCGCCTCTGGGTCTTCCTGGAGCTCCAGAGAAGTCCTGAGATTGGGCCCAGGAGAAAGGAGGCCAGGGGAGACATTGCCCCACGTAGGTAGGATGTCCCCAGACAGGCAGAGGACAGCCAGCCAGGTAACTTTCACCCCGCTGGTGGTGTGTCTGCCTGTCACTTTGGGTTGATGCAGTGCAGCACTGCGAACAGGTCAAGTATTCCCAGAGGCGTTTTGTTTATTGCCCAATAATAATTGGTGTGATTAGGCCATTTTCTGTTATAGCAGTTGACCCCTTCTTTGAGTGTCCTAAATTGTCTTTGAGCTCTGTATTCAGTCTCAGCCAAAACTTGTTGAAAATTATGCCCTAAAAATCTTGCTCTTAAAATAGAGCAGAAAGATAGAGCTGCTTAAAAAAAAATATCCAGAGATTTCGATTTATGATCTCCCCCCCCCCACCATCCTGTGGAGAAAGATTGATGTCAGTTTTCATTCCTCTGGCAGATAGTGTTTTTAATGGAAAAAAAAAAACTTATTCCAGGCCGTGGTTAATTGGTCAATTGTTGCTATTCACTTCAGGAGAAATAAAATTCTGACTCCTGTCTCCACTTCTTGCCCTTCTGACCTAGATTGTAGTTGAGTTAACAGCCCCCCCATGGCTAGGAACCTTTTTAGTTCTCTCCAAACCATTTCCCCGTCCGGCACCCTTTTATTATTTCTTTATTCTGTTGGTCTGTTTCCTTTTTTTTAAGGCTCAAACCACAATTAATTCTCATTCACTCACTCCCTCTCAAAGGTTAAAGAAAAGAGCAAATCCACTGGCCACAGGCTGCCCTAGGCCAGGCTGCAAATTCTGCAGCTAGTCAGTCTGTTGGGGGTGGGGAATGAGACAGTATCAATAACGATCAATTCAGCTAATTGTGGAGGGTGGGACTGTGGAGGCTTTATATCCAAGTCACATTTTATTATACTGTTACCATGGAAAAGATACTTAAGGTGAATGAGCATAACTGAATTTCAGTACTGAAAAAAATGCTACACATAAGAAATTAAAGTGATAGATGGATTGATAGAGATATTCCACCTGTGGTTGTAATAAACAATAGTAGGAGTATCAAGACATGCATTTACTCCCTGCTTAGCCTGTAACCATGGTACTGAGGTAAGTTGGACATTGACCTGAGGAAAACATTGACACTTAATCCCTTTGGGCCCACATGTCTTGATCAGCAATAAGTGAGATTTGACCTAGAAACCCATTGCATCTTTGTTGACTCTCATGTTTTTGATGCAGTCAACAACAAAGAATATGTATTGCATGCTTGATTACTTGTGCCAGACATTATGGAGGCAGTAACAACAAGAAAACCATGGTTCTACCCTCAAGGAGCATGTTATTGGCTGGTGAGGGAAGAGAGCAGTTACATCAAATAATTACAAGGAAAATAGGTTTAAAGAAAAACTAGAAACAGGTTGATGGGGAGTGACAAGGAACGTGAGGTACATAGATCCGATTCACTTTCTGATTAAAACTAAGATTACTGGAAGGCTAGCAGATAGTGCTTGGAGATACCAGGAAGTGAGTGACTAGGCAGGGTAGAAGCAGGAACATTGCTTTGATGAATTGAAGAAGCAAGAGACCCTGAGGTTGAATGATCCATCCCCCAGCTGATGAAGTCTTGGAGAGGGATGACAGCTATTGTTGGGGTACAAAGAATGACTGTGTATATGAGGGGACAGTCTCTAGTGATAGGAATAAGCTTAAAGTCAGTGGATGACAATATTTGGGGAGAAGGTCATGAGATGTGAGAAGCCTCAGAAGAATGGGATGTTTATTAGAGATGTATGTAAGCCTACAAAGAATGTACCTACTTACCCCATGAATCCAAAGAGTTTCAGCTTCTTGATAATCTAGCCAAATCACCAGGTTGTATCATCAAGCCTGTGAGAACAGCTCCTATATATTTACTATTATCTTATAATTACTGTCCTAGGTACTTCTAGGAAAGTAATACGTGTGTGTATATATATATATATAGAGAGAGAGACAGACAGACAGACAGACAGAGACAGAGATAGTAAATATATTAGACTTTTTTCAAAATTAGCAAACATCTACCATTCAGTTAGAGGATTGTCAAGGAATCCTTCTAAACAAAAAACAAACACCATTAAGAGGTTGTGGAGCTGAGTGTAATTGAATTATCTTACCTTGCTTATATGCTCTTAAGTATTAAATGGATACAACAAGTCAAATATCTATTCAAAAAATTCAATGTGACCTTGAAATTTCAAGGAGCCTGTGTTACTTAAACCATTGCAAATGAAGCTCTTGTAGTTGAAGTTTAAATGTAAAATGATGGCATACCCTCACTAGGTAGCAATAAGAATTACAAACAAAAGGAGGCCAGTACCACCTGTTTTTATTTTCATTTAACAAAGGGAAATACCAAGAAAGAGGATACAGATGATTTTAGAAACCTCCTATCACCTCAATGCCACAAAAACAAAAGTTTCTATAAATGTCATAGTTTGACAGGTAATCTAGATTGCCTGTGAATACCATCAAAAGAGAAGACTAGGATTCTGTTAGTCAAAGTGTGGCTCATAGACCAGCACAATAAGCATCACCTAGGAGCTTGTGAGAAATGCAGAATTCAATATCACCCCACACTTAGACAAAACTGTGAATGTACATTTAAACAAGAACTGCCAGGAATCATATTTGCATTGAGTTTTCTATTCTAGTCAGTCTAGTTGCCAACTGTAGTTTTCCCAGGTCAGGACCTTGTCCCCTTGTAGGGGAGACAGAAAAGATGCTATCCTCAGAACACTCTGAATTTTGCGTATTATACAACAACAGGAACAAAGTGAACAACATGTGCTGTGGGGTGAGATGACTAACGATTGCCCTTCTCAGAAAGTGAAGAGAGGAAATTGCAAAATAGCAAGTGAGCCTTGGGATGCTGCTGGGGCCTGGAAAGGAGACAGGACTGCATCCATCATCTTCGGTGTCCCGTATTCAAGAGCAACTATATGCTCTTGCCAGCATTATTTTCATTGTTATAAACAACAATGTAAAACAAATGGACATATGTGAGACTCTAAAAGTCATCGCTACTGTCTAAATGACAAAATGGTTATTGGGTTGAATCCTTAATGTTTTAGTAAAGTTGCTGTACACTTGGATGAATATTCATCACACCTGATAATCTATAAAAATCGTAATGCCCATGCTGTATCTCCCAACTTATTTTTTAAAAAAGATGGAGAAAAAGTGACAGTGTTGCCCCATGTACAGCTAACATTGAGATCCTTTGCTTCCATAACTCTGTTGAGACCATTGTGAAAAGAAGCTGTATTGAGACTTTCCACCCACCAAAATGGGACCTCCCTTACTACCATAGCACCAAGCCAAGGCAGCTAAACTCTGACCACATCCACTCACTAGTAGGGTTTTCAGAAAACTGATGGAAATAGGATTTGTTTGTTTTTTAAAGAGGAGACTACTTTAGGCCAATACAAAATGATTAATAAGCTAACTGTTGGTGAAAACTCTGTACATTTACTGGAAGTTATTTATTTGTATATTTGCATTATATTTTCAGAATGGAGTAAATTATACTTCAGTGAAATGTTTAAGTTGCTGTGAATGTGTCAATGTTCATAATTTCATCATGTTAATAATATCATCAGGAGGTCCTGTTCTGTGTCATTGGAGCATCAGATGAATGTCAAGTAGATAGTTCTCAGTAAGAGGTTTGGTAGGTGAGAGATTGCAATTGATGGATGGATAGATGGATCACGATGGTAGACTGATTCCTAAACTGAGGTTAATCACTAGGGATGCCCAGAGCTGATCACTCTCTCTGGTTCTGTGTGTGTGTGTGTGTGTATGTGTGTGTGTGTGTGTGTGTGTGTGACTGTGTCTGTGTGTCTGCACACACACAGGCCAGTGTGAGCCATTACTAGGGCTTGAATTTAGTGCATCATGCCCTTGGTTTGCTTATTTGTTAATAGCTGATGTTTTATCATTTAAACCACAACTTCCATCCAGCATTTATGCTTGTTAATTGGAGATGGAGCCTCAGAGACTTTTCTTCCCTGACTGGCTTTGAAATTTAGCTAGGATTTGTAAGTGTGAGCTACTGACACCCAGCTATTAGTGCCATTTGTAACCACAGACACATATTGCTTGTTAAGTGGTAAGGAATTGCAAGTAGGGAAATTGGTTTCAGGGAAGCTATAATGTAGAACTGTGTATTCATAAGTGAATTACTGTAAGACAGAAAATCCTGCATTTTGTTAGTAATAATACTGTATGTGGAAGGGTTATCAGGGGGGGAATTTATTTTAGCAATCTGTGATGTGTTATGACTCACTTAATTTTAGACATACCACATGATCATGCTAATTTGGGTTATATGAACCAGGTATGCAAAGCACACAAGAATCTGCTTGAGATACAGGTTACTTGTGTGTCTTGATGGATGTATACAACATTCTCCTCAGCACTAGCAATCAAAGAACATAGAGGAGAAAGCCTTGGGGAGATGTTTTAATTTGTTGGATGAAATTTAAAATTTTATTAATTAATGTCTTTGGGGGAAAATATTAATTTAATTTCTGAAGTAACCTAGATTTAAAGTTTTTTGTTGAAAATCTTTCTTACATGAATTGGAGCACCCCCCCTGTCCTTGTAATTGCAATGTGGTGAACATAAAATTTTATTTTGGTTATTTAGAACCTAGAAATATGATGGATTCATGCCCATATAAAGCTACATATTGAATATATA